CTGTAATCAGAGTGTAGAGTCTAGAAACAATGTTCCCGGTTTCTCACAGTGTACTGTTAATCTGGAAGACAGCTGTGCTTCTTAAAATCTCTTTAACCATACAACGAAATGGAACCTCTCACCTACCTACCTCTGTACCTTAATTTTCCTTCTCAGAGGAGTAGAGTGTATTGTTTAGGCCAGGGGGCAGCTAACGTGCTGTGTGTGAGTAAGGTGTGTGTTGGTCCTGTAATGAGGCCTACCATAGAACCAAAACTACACAGGGCTAGGACTCCAAGGACCTGAGTGTCTAATGGCTCCAGGGGACTGCCACAGCTTAAAAGGTGAAAGAAAGGAAGAAAGCCAGAGTGGAGGAAGAAAGGAGGCAGGCGGGCAAATGGGTTTTCACTGGGCAGTCTTCTTCCCTGACAGGAAGAAATGCAACAGTTCCGGAAAAGGTTCCAAGTCCTGCAGAGACTTTGATTTATGAAGATTTACCCCATTCCCTCTGTAAGGCTGTTAACAGAAAGTGCTGACTCGCTGCAAAAAAGAATTTCTCATCAATGCTCTTTGATTGTATTTTGCAAACAAAATGCCTGTTGCTTGGTAACATTTCACTTGTGCCTGACCTTCTCCAAAAGTTATTGCTATCAGATTCGATTTACACTGTCCTCCTGTGATTACTGTAATCTTTTAAACCAGAGAGTTCATCCATCAGGGAAAGGAAAAGTTGGTTGTAAGTGGAGAGCACCGTCATCCCTCAGATTTATAAAGCCTGGAGCAGGCTAGGGGTCCTCTGCCTGGCAACAGACTCCAACTCCTACTGGAGTGCTCTCATTTTTCCTTTGACAGTGTCTGAGGCTCCACCAGACAGACACCAGCATTCCAATGCCCCTCAGGGTAGGCCAGAGCAGAGGAAGCAGGGAGGTTGCTGAGGCCCAAGGGGCTGAGAAGGAAGGGCTCTGGGAGACTTGCTTTAGTCCTTAGGCGAGGAAGGACTAGTGACAGGAGTAAGCTGACAACCATTAGTACTGTCACAGAGAACACACACACACACACACACACACACACACACACACACTGCCACTCAGGCCTCTCCTGAGTTCTCTGCCACTCCATCCAGGGACAGGGCCACCAGAAAGGCCTCACTGCAACTAGCCTACCCAACAAATGTAGCAAGGCAAGGACTAGATTCCCTACCCCCAAATCCAGCTCTCCCCATGAGAGGTTCAAAGTGGCAGTCATGCTGTCCTGGTATTTCTTTGGATCTGGCTTTCCTTAAAGCCCCTTGCTTCAAATCAAGCCATCTTAAAGCCAGATAAGCTTTTCAACTCATAGATATACATCCCAGATGACTTTTAATTGCTTCCAGCTTCTTCCTTGCTCTGGCTGTACAGTCAGACAGGATTTCCTTATCTGGCTTTCTTGAGCTCTCCCCTAACACAAATGACCAAGTCTTTCTCTTTGGAGAATTAAAGGGAAAAATAAATAAAATGAAGGAAGCAGACAGGACAGTCCAAATCACGCTGGAATTGGAAGCCCAGAGCAGTCATAAAGGTGCGGTCAGTTTCCAAAATCAACCTTACTCCCTCCCTCCATCTCTCTCCCTCCCTCCACCTCTCTCTTTCCAGCTGCCTTGTTTGCTTCTTTCAGAATAAAGGACACCTTACCTTACTTTCCTACCCCACCCTCCTCTTTAATCCCTAACCAAATGTTTCTCTTTGTTTCTTTGTCCTTCAAGAGCATTTAAAATAACTGATAGATTGGATAGATAGATTATTATTATATAGATACACAGATTATAGACAGATGGGAAACAGTGAGAGACAGACAGACAGACAGACTGATGGCAAATATACACCAAGGAAGATTCTACAGCCAATGATCAGTCCTTTCCAGACACCAGGGCCTATGGCCACCCAGGACCCTCTTCTAGAGGAAAAGTCTGGGGTAAGGAAGGGAATGTGACTGCAGCTTCTCACCTTGGCCATGACCCTTAGCTTTCCTCAGCTCCTGAGCCCAGGGTCCTGAAAGGACCGGCTTGGCTGGTTGAAGCTGCTGTTTCAGAAGCCCAGGCAGCTTCAAGAGGTCTGCTATTTTCATGGGGGGAGGGGATGAAGGTGACAGGAAGGAACTATCTAAGTTTCATAGCATCTATAGGGAAGGTTAAGTTAGAAATTGGAGCACAATCAAAATCTAATTAATTAATGGATCAGCTAGCAATGACAGGTAGAAGAAGGCTGCAATTTAAAAGGATATTTTAACCCTTAACTAGACTACACATAATCTTCTTAAACTCACATCAAAAAGAATACTCAAACATTCCTTTGAGACATTTGAAAGAGATTTTAGGAAAGATTTCTTCCAGTTAGAAAACTGAGTTTTTGTATTCACATGTCTCTCCCTGAACTCCGGGGGGGAGGGGGGGTTCTCCCATGATGCCTAGCCAACATCCTTCTAAAGGCCTGTGCTTTTCTCAGATTTCTGTGTGCTCCTGGCATACCTGTGCTTGTCTTCAAGAACAACGCTTTCCATAGCTATGTGTGGGAGGCCTTCTGCCCTGCAAAAGGGTCTAAACAGATGTTCAAAACCCAAGTTCACAAAGGAGCAAACCTGAAAGGTTCGCCAGCTGACTCCTGAAGACTGTTGCTGGGCACTGGCTCATGGCCCTTCCATCCCGACGGGGCCACACTCTCTCCATGGAAGGGACTAACTTTTCCAGGAAGATCTAATACGCTTCTAAAGGGGCACCGCCTGTCACATGCAAATGCGTTGCAGAAATGCACAGCAACACACCAACCAGTGTCTCAACCAGGAGTTTTAATTTGGCTGTCCCTCCCAACAGAGTGGATTTTTTTTTTTAACATGTATTGCATAGAGCCAATCCATTTGTGTTCCTAGTGTAAAATTATAATCTGTTTGTTTTATCAACCTCCCCCAAGACAACTGATGTATTCCTTTTTTTTTTTTTTTTTTTTTTAAGGAATGCAATTGATAAAAGAAAAAAAGTTAGTGACTGTGCAAGGTATGTGGTGTGACCGGCTGGAAACTGAACCCTTGGTCCCTCACAGCTCAGTCTCTGGAAGTAATTCTTTTATCCTCTCTCTCTCAATTTTGGAGGGCTAAGGCTACCCCTGAGTGTTTGGTGAAAGTAGAGGACAGAAGGACACAACGCATGTGGTGTCTGGTTTGCATACTTGACGTTCTCCTAAATGTCTGGTTTGCACCTTTTTTTATTCTCCTAAAGCTTGGGCCCTGCTGCTGCTGCTTCAGCCTCGCCTCCTCCCTGCCCGCACCCACACACTTTTCAGATTGGTTTGGATTTTGTGACTCTTCATACATTTTGGCTATGGAGGACAATCGTGGAGGACCACGCGATGCTAAAGGAGCCCCCTCTTGGACAAAGACCACACAACTCAAGGTTACTGCACCCTAAGAGCTGCTGGTAGGCGATGGGCACTGAAAAATGCCAACTTGGTTTTTTAACTCAGAGTTCTGCTCTAGTCCTGGGAACTCTAGTCCTGGAGCCAGGAAAACCGCAATAGAAAATTCAAAGACAGTAGCACAGAATCACTTCTGGGACTGAAACCAAACTCTCCTACTGGTTCTTACCTGAGGGACCGGACAGATCCAGAAAGCCCTCCACAGGCTCTAGTGCTTCCACAAAAACGAGATGAAGGGCGGTACTTCTGAGACACGTATGTTCCTTGTAGCTAATGCCCACAAAACCCAGTCAGCAAACTGCTTTCTGAACCTCAGGCCTACCCAGCACAACTGAACCTGAAGGGCTGAAACACTCTGCCCCCAACCACCTACCACCTCACCACACACCAGGAATGTATAGCTTCCCACGGTTCAGCACAGGGCTCTGGAATTCTCTGAGGAAGAGCAGTCTCCAAGGGGCTGAGGAAGTGGAGGCAGCGGCTCTAGCTACAGAAAAACTGTGGGCCTTTCACTGCTAATTACACTACACCCCACTCAGAGGAGATGGGCTTGTCTCCTTTGTACATTTACCCGATGAGGGGAAAAACACCAAACTCAATGTCCACTGACTTCCACTTGCCATGAAGCCGAGAGGGGCCAGGAGTGAAGCCAAGAGGGATCCCAGGAAAGAGTGAAGGAGGCCTAAACTGGGGACAGCCAGACTCAGGAAGGAGCGAAAAAGATAGAACTTGGTGGAAATTGGGGTCCGCTGTCAGGGCTCAGGGCCCCCTTGTTACCCAACTTGGACCCCAAATAAAAGCCTTTCTGAGAGGCAAGGAGAAGGGAGGGAATCTAGGTGTCCAGAAAGTCCCTGTTGTTTCACAGCAGGCCAACCCCGTGTAAGCCTGGAAAAGTACTTGCTAGGTTTTCCCCACTGTAGGCCAAGTTTTGTTTTTAGTTTCTTCAAATCACAGCAAACCCTCTTTTAAAGGACCAAAGAAGTAGTTCTGCAAAAAAGTTAACCGGCCTCGCTGGAACTTTTTGAATCCTTTTTCCTATAGTTCTCAGGAAGGCGCCTCTTTTTATGGAATCCTGTCTTGAAGCCTCTTAGCCAGGCTAAAAGGATTCTGAGTTCCTCTAAGTAAGAGATATAAAGCCTTTTTGCTTTCCGTGTCCCAAGTCAAGCCAAGAATCACTTAGACTCAGTAAAGCACTGGACCCTGACTGCTAACCCGCACCTACTTAGCCCTCCTCCCAAATGAGGCCCCCTAAAACCTAAAACCGAAGGCCAGGAAAACCTGCCTCCCCAAGCCGTCGTTTCACTTGTAGAATTGATGCCGTGGGGGAGGCACCTGGAAATAGGGACACACAGCCCAGCTATTTGGCTGGCCTCTCTGGCGGCCTCCTGGGTTCCATCGGCACCGGGTTCAGATTCCCAAGACCCCCTTTTCCAGGAAAGTAAGAACCGGTGTCCGCTGGGGAAGTAGACCCCAACAAGGCCAACTCTCCACAGACTTGCCCTCGGCCTCCTCCACGGATCCCTCCACTCGAGGTGCCCTCTCTCGGGGGCCCGAGCCCAGCCCAGCAGACGCTCTCACCTGGCTTGGCGAGCTGCGCCGGCAGCGTCCCGGGTTGGGGCTCGGCGGCCCAGCGCAGCGCGGCGGCTGCAGCCAACTCGGCGGCGGGACGAGGCGGCGCCGGCGGCTGGGACCCGGGCTGGGAGGCTGGCGACGGCTGCGAGGCCGCGGCCGGGACGGCGGCGGCGGCGTCCCCGGGCGGCGTGGGCCCCGGCAGAGCGCGCAGCGAGTCCGGGATGAGGCTCTCCAGGCTCTCGTTGGCCTGCTGCCGCCGCAGCGCCACCTGCGCCGCCATGACCCGCTGCCGCTCGATGATGAGGATGCACTTCTCGCAGGTGCAGTCCTTGAAGCGACAGTAGCGCTTGTGGCCCTTGAGCCAGGACAGCACCCCGTGGTTCCGGCAGCGCGCGCACTTGGGCGTGCGCTGCAGGGGCGCCCGCGGCGGCTGCGACACGGGGCCGCCCATGTACAGGTAGGGGGAGCCGTAGCCGTTCATGCCCGGGCCCGCCCCGGCCGGCGGCGGCGGGGGAGCGGGGCGGCAGGCGGGCGGGCGGGCGCGGAAACGCGAGGCTCGGAGGCCTGCTCCCGGCAGGCCCCGGAGGGGCGGCGGCGGCGGCCGGGGGAGGCAGCGGCCGGCTCCCCGGCTCCGAAGGCGCTCGCAGCCTGGGCCGCCGGTCCCCACGCTAGGCGCGTCCGTCCAGGGCGCAGGCTCCAGCCGCCGGTCCTCCCACGCCGAGGGTCTCGGGCCGCTGCAAGGAGCCGGTGGGAGCTCTGATTAGAGTCTGAGCCAGCTCCCGCGCCGCTCCCTTCCTCGCCGACTGGCCCCAGCACCTCCTCCGCCGCCCTCCCCGCGGTCCCTCCTCCCCCACGGTCCCTCCCTCTCCCCCTCCCCGCCACCCCTATCCCCGGGGTCCTAGCCTCCCCGCGTTCCCCACGCGCAGTCCTCCTCCCTGGCACCCCTCGAGCTCCTGCGCCTCACCTTGCCCGTCACCTGCCGCCGGGCCTCTCTGGCGGGGGCGCTCACACCCCCTCCCCCCAGCTCTGGTCTACGCCTTCCAGTGGCAGGAGGGACCGTGGCGCTGCGGTGCCACCCGGCTCCCCGGGCCGACGGGAGTGGGGGTGCGAGGATCGCGAGGGGGTGGGCGCTTGTAAACCGGCGGGCGGGCCTCTCCCCTACCCTCTCCCGTCGCTCCAGACCTGATCTGGAAGCACCGGGCCCCGGACCGCTTTCGTTCCCACACTTGGCCTCAGGAATTGAGAGCTTGCGGGGAACTGGGGGTGCACCGGAAGGTCGGCCCCGGGCGCACCGGGTTTCAAGCTCCACGCGGTGGCCACACGGCAAGAGGAATCAGGAGTGAGAGGGGTGGTGGTGACTCGGGAATTTGGGGGGCTCTTCTTCAGTTCGTTTTGCAATCAATCATCTAGTTTCTCTTTCGCTGCTGCAGAAGAAAATGAGTATCTTAAAAAAATCTGTCAGGCTTCAAGAAGACAACTCGTTTTATAGGGTAATTTTTATTTTCTACCTCCCTCCTTGTGTCTTTCAAATAAAGCACAGTTTCTGCCTTAAAAGACCTCTGCCTCGGAAGGCCGGGGAAGTGCTCTCTGGCATGTTTTCCTCGAGCACTGTTCAGGCTTTCGGAGAGCGGAGGCAGAAGACTCGTTAGTGGCCCCACAGTTACGAGGTACCTGATCCCGCAACATCACTGAATCATCGGCCAAGCCCCGGGCTTGCCCAGTTCAAATCCCCACAGACGCTGTGATTTACTTAAGGACAATGGATGGACCCTACTCACAATAATCTTTTCGTGAGAGTGGGGAGAGTCTCGTGTATAACATGACCCCATAACCCTTTTCTTTTCTTTTTACGACATAAACTTCTTTCCTATTCTTTGCTTGTTTTCAGTATTGGTTTACTCCAAATTCCAGCAACCCCTACGTAGGCATAGAGAAGGCTGCCTTCACCCATCCGTCCAAGAAAACAGCCAAACGAAAATTAAGACATAATGCAGGCTTGAGACTGCTTCATAACTCGGTGGGAAGCAGACGGTGCAAGTCCCGGAGAACACGCGATTTGCTTTTTGCCGCGTGGATGCATGTCAGCGTAAACAGGTCTGTTAGGGTACCTGACTCTTGACCGGCACAGAGGCCACAGTCGAGCCCGGCCCTACACAGCCAGCCAAGGAGGAGGGCGCCGCTGGCGGGTTCCATCAGCAAGCCTTCTGCCTGGAAGAGTGATTTGGAAAGGAAAGAGAACTTTGAAAGGGGAATATAAATATTGCTGCGTACCTTCTCCCACCCCCCATGCCCTTAGCCACTCGGGTTGCAGATGCATGGAGTTGTTAGTAGTTGGAGGCTGACCTGCTGGGGATCCCCTTGCCCGGGAACCCCTTGCACACGAGTGCTCTCTCTGGGAGACCAGCTCAAGAGCTGCAGGGGACTCTTGCCCCCTCCCCCTTTAACCTTGCCTCTTCCCACCCTTCGCCAGGAAAAACGAGTTCCTAACACTACAACTGGAAGGAATTTGGTAAACTGTGGGGACGGGAGGGAGAGGTCACCCGTGGATCACGGATTGTTGGGCCTGACACAGAAAAATGGGTGCCCACAGTAGGAGTCGCGTCTGTGAATGACGGGAACCTGGGAACTCGCACGGTTTCGCTCTGAAATCTGTGTCTCTTAGAAGGACAAGGACCATGGACTTTTAGCAAAGGTGAATTTCTCCTAAGTGGCTCAGCAAAACCGACCAGAAAAAATTTTCTCCTCTGAGGAAGAAAAGCAGCCGAGCTCTGCACCAGATTTTGGGGGGACATTTTCACTCTCAAGACAATGCCCTTTCCTTCCTGGGTCACCAGCTGTCTTATCCCAGTCCACTCACACTTTTGGTATTATTTGGTACTCCCCCCTTCACTCCAGCACATCGAGGGCTGAGATCTAAATACTCATTTGATATAGCGCGGTAATCCTTTTCTTATATTTGATGGGAATGTTTTCCATATCCCAGTATTTGACAACATCTCCCTATAGGGACAGGTTTGTATTTATGTTGGTAAAATGTTCCCTGCCTCAAAGTCTATTGTAACCCAACACCTGACAACCCCGAGTCCCATTTCTGTTTGCAGAAAGGGTTTATTCAAGCACATAATGGGATCCCAGCAGAAAGCCTTTCAGAACAAGGGGCTATGGTAAACTTCACCACATGAACTCCGTTTCCAGGGCTATTAAGCTTTTAATTGGAAAATAGCAGAGGAAATTTCAAGGTGACTATAACGTGTTAGCAGTTAGTTCAGAGAAGAAAAGCCCATGCGGGAATGAATGTAGAAAGCATATGGTCCGAATCACATTTAGGAGGAGCCGGCCTGCTTCTGCTAAGACCCTGCAGCTTCTGCACTTATGGGAAAAATCATCAAAGAAGCTGGAAAGGGAGGGGCAGGATTACAAGCGAAAGTAACCTCGCTAGGCTACACCCACTCCCAGCTCCTCTGGTGGGGTGCTAGTGTTTTCAAACCACATTTAACTGGGTAGGACATGGCAGGTAGCGATACTGAAGGAGGTGAAAAATAGCGTTGTCTGCTCCTTCTGAAGTACACTCAGCGGCTCGTGAGGAACTACCGGAAACTCCGGAAAGAAGCCAGCGTTCTTGTTGAGAAAGTGCCGGCGTGTGATTCCAAATCTGGAGGTCCCGATAGGTGTCCCTCCTCCTCCCCAGCAACCTTTAATCAAAGGACAGTGGCGTAGCGTGCTGGGTATAGGACACAAGGAGACATCTGTTCGTCTGTACTCTCACACAGGGGGGAATTCGGAGTTCCTATTTTGTTGGCTGTATCTCGAACTCGGTGACTTTGATGTTGACAGGTGCGCGGGGGAGAGGGGGGGAGGAGTGTCTTGGGGGGAGGGAACCCTTTGCAGGCATTAAAAAAAAGTCACCCCTCTGCGTACACGGGGACCCAGCAGGAACGATTCAGTACTCACCCAGTCTCTCTCTCTCTCTCTCTCTCTCTCTCTCTCTCTCTCTCTCTCTCTCTCCATCTCTATTTAGCCAGCTTCGAGTTGAAAGAAGGTAGGGGGATAACTGGGGTCTGGCGGTGGCAGTAATGTCCTCCTCCGCCCCCAACTGGCTGGGGAGAGCCTCGAGCTCCGTCTTTACGGTACCCTGAAGGCCCTTCTCGGGCGATCATGATCAGTTGAGGACTTCTGACTGGCCGGCATCCAGTAGGCCTGAGGGATGCCTTTAGGTGGAGGAAGGTTCTGGACAATCACCTTCCCACGACACATCAACGACCTAACAGCTGGCTGCAGGTGCCTTTGGAACTGAGACACGCTAAGCACCCGGGGCACCGCAAGGGCTGCCCTGACCTAGAACTCTCCAGGCCAGTAGCGGCTCTGGCCTAGGGTCAGGTTCCTCACACTCAGCCTGGACTGGACACCGCCCAACTCCAGCTTTTGGGAAGAGTGTGTCTGTGTCGCTCGCTGCTGCACCATCTTAGACAAAGGTTTCTCAGGAACTTCAGAAGGGCGGCCACACCCTCGCTGACCCGATACTCCGGGCCGAGACCGTCCTGGACCGTCTTGGGAAGGGGACACGTCCCTAGACCATTTTGGGAGGCAGGCAGCCCCTTTTGCTCACGTGCGCGTTAAGGGGGAGAAGCAGGTTTCCTCCTTCGAGGTAAAACGATTGACTTTATAACTCAAGTATAGCTCAAATACACAGCCTTTCTTTAGAGATTTAAAAACCAAAGACTGAGAAAACCAGGCCGGGTAATTTGAGTAACGTTCAAGGGACAAACTAAACAGTCGTTTCCCTCCAAGTGCTAGGTGGACTTCTCCAAGACTTTGTTTTTGTTTTTGTTTTTCCAGGAAACTTCACCTCCCCTCACCCTTCCTCCTTCTTGGGGAGACTAAACCGGTGAGCAAAGCCTAAGCGGTGCGGAGGGCAACTTCCCCGGTCCGGCGACAGGACCAGCAGCCAATCCGGAGGAACAGTCGCGCCGCCGGCACCAGGGAAGAGCGGGTACCAGCTCGACCGCTGGATTTCGAAATCGGGGGACACCAGAAACACCGGGACCTGGAGTACCGGCGCCCCGCACAGAGCCACCGCGGGCCAGGGGGGAGCTCGTGCCCTTTCCCCGCGGCTGCGCAGCCTGGAGGGGCGGCTTCCGGTGAGCGTTCCCGCTGCGCCCCGCCCCCGACGCCTTCGCCCCGCCCCCCGCCTCGGCCCCGCCCCCCGTTCGAGGCGCGCCACGGCCGAGGTTCTGGTGGGAGGAAAAGTTGGTTGCGGCGTTTCCGAGCGTGGGCGGGAAGGACCTGCGCCGGGGCCCAGTGGGAGACGGGAGGCCGCCGGTCTTCGCCCGCCTTCCCGGGCGTGTCCCCACCCGGGCCGCGTCCACGCCGTGGACTGGCGAGCCTTCGGGTTGCAGTGTGAGCGGGAGGCGACCGCAAACGCTGCGTGGGGAGGTGGCCGGGCGCCCGCGTGGGCGAGCACCTCGTAGGCGGGGGACCCAC